AATTCCATTAGGCTAACGCCGAGGCCCAGAAGAACATCAAGCGCTACCAACAGCAGCTCAAGGACATCCAGACTGCCCTTGAGGAAGAACAGAGAGCCCGCGATGATGCCCGCGAACAGCTGGGTATCTCCGAGCGTCGTGCCAACGCTCTGCAGAACGAACTGGAAGAGTCTCGCACTCTGCTGGAGCAGGCCGATCGCGGTCGTCGCCAGGCCGAGCAAGAGCTGGCCGATGCCCACGAACAGCTGAACGAAGTTTCCGCCCAGAACGCTTCCATCTCCGCTGCCAAGAGGAAATTGGAGTCTGAGCTGCAGACCCTGCACTCTGACCTGGATGAGCTCCTGAACGAAGCCAAGAACTCCGAGGAGAAGGCCAAGAAGGCTATGGTTGATGCTGCCCGCCTGGCTGATGAGCTCCGCGCTGAGCAGGATCATGCCCAGACCCAGGAGAAATTGAGAAAGGCCCTGGAACAGCAGATCAAGGAATTGCAGGTGCGTCTGGATGAGGCTGAGGCCAATGCCCTTAAGGGTGGCAAGAAGGCTATCCAGAAATTGGAGCAGCGCGTCCGCGAGCTCGAGAACGAGCTGGATGGTGAGCAGAGAAGACACGCCGATGCCCAGAAGAACTTGCGCAAATCTGAGCGCCGCATCAAGGAGTTGAGCTTCCAGTCTGAGGAGGACCGCAAGAACCACGAACGCATGCAGGATCTGGTCGATAAGCTGCAACAGAAGATCAAGACATACAAGAGGCAGATCGAGGAAGCCGAGGAAATCGCTGCCCTCAACTTGGCCAAATTCCGCAAGGCCCAGCAGGAGCTCGAGGAAGCCGAGGAGCGTGCCGATCTGGCTGAGCAGGCAATTAGCAAATTCCGCGCCAAGGGACGTGCCGGTTCTGTCGGTCGTGGTGCCAGCCCAGCGGTAAGTACCTAACCATTAAATACCCTATTCCCTCCACGCTCCACTCACTCATTCAGCAGCGAACACAAAGCAACCATTTTGCTTACCATTTATAGATTATTCCGTTGCCAAAATCTCTCTAGTATATTGATTATATTGCCTATATATATGCTTAAATATATATATATATATTCTTCCCTTACATATTGCGGTTCGTGCTCTGCTTCTTCACACATCACCTCTACAACAACAGAATTAAATGAAAAATTTGAGGCACAACCAAAAATGAAAAATCAAATATAAAAACTAAAAAAAAAAACACAAAATCTATTATGGTTCAATTATGTGTAAACAAACAAAAAAAAAAAAAGAAATGAGAGAACAAAAACATGCAAAGAGAATTATAGCTTATAAGAATTAATATATATACAATAATAATAATATAGATGCATCATACGACATTCGGTAGAACAGAGAATTGTAATTAGAGGCACAACCCACCACATGCTAACGCACCTGGGCGAAAAAAAGAAACGAACCAGATAATTCAAATATAAAACCGCAAGAAAGAAATGAAAGATGATCGATAACATCAATCTATCGATACATCGATCCATCGATAAGCTAGTACCAACCAAAAATGCGTTCATTTTGACAATTTTTCTAACTATGAAGATCAACAGCAAGTAAATCAATCAAGCAATCAATCAATCGACTTTGCTTTCTCTACAACCATACTGCATACAATATATATATATTTATATATATATATATATACAAAACTATTCTTCCACTATATTATTAAAAAAAAACCAACCACATATATATATATATATATATATGTATATGTATTTGTACATGTGTACTGCAGCCTACAGCGTCAAGGGGTGGCCGCTAGAGTGCGCTCTGGAGCAGTAGAAACTTTCTTGATAACATTTGTAAGTGGCGTCTCCCATAAGCGGATGCGTTTCAAACGTTTAACGTTTCACGTTCTCGTTCTTGTTGTTCTTGTCTTGTTGTCTCAGAATGTTAGAAAACTTCTATTTCCCACACACCGTTACAAGCACACGCCCACAGACGCATACATAGAGAAACTCTTCCAAAATTCAACGCAAATTCGATCATTCAATTAGCATCGTTTCCTTCAAACGTTCATTCGATTGCCTGCGCTCTCTTTTATGAGTTGCGTTCATTTGTTACGTATACGCTCTCTGGTGAGTTGCGTTCATTTGTTACTTTAACGCTCTCTGCTGAGCTGCGTCCATTCGTTATACTCATTTTTTCGTTCATTCACTGAATTCAATTGTTTCATTCATTCGTGTAGTCTCTCTTTCATACATTCCCCGCATAGAGAACGTCTCGAGCATTTATTTACGTCCTGCGTTGCTCACGCTACCCTTGTACCCCGTTTATATGCTCGTTTTCTCTCTTTTTCCTTCCCGTCAATGTGTGCACCACATAACGTGCAACCTTACTTAGTGAGTTAGTCAAATGTCTCAACGAACTTTTAGTGACTCGTCCACCCAAGCATGTTATGGCTAGTGATGAAATCATATATATTTATAATCCTATATTTAAACTCTCTTTTAATATGCACAATTTGTTTCTATTCTGCAGCCCCGTGCGACATCCGTTAGGCCACAATTCGACGGATTGGCTTTCCCACCAAGATTCGACCTTGCTCCTGAAAACGAATTCTAAATGCCATTTCATTTTTTAATTTATTTTAAATGATATTTCATAATGATTATGTTTATGATTTAAAGCTTAATTTCTTAATTTAAACAAAATAATAAAACTATAACAAAATATATATCGAAACGACGGGAGGCAAAATGCACTTAGGCAAAAAAGTAAAAAAAAAAAACTATTAAAAACTCAAACCGGGCCCAAACAATAATGGTCTTAAGACCCCCTGTTAAAAACAACAACAAAATCAGTTGAAACAACAACAACGATCGACATACATAAGTTCTCTGTGAGGGGAGTTGGTAGCAGCTTTGTAAGCGCGACATTTGCTTTCGGACATTTCCCGAGACCTGTTATTGTATTTATATTTTTATACAACTTTCAAAACGCATTCAACAAACGACAAAAAAAAACAAACACACAAAAACCATGCATTACAACAACAAATGATCCCCGTCAAGTGTGAGTTAAAAATAGGCCCCAAAGGGGAGGGAAGTGTCCACCAGGAAATGTCGCAGTTTCACTATCTAACATATCGAATTGTGTCAATGTAATTTTCTTATATGTACACCCAATTCTACAGACCAATAGACAAACAGACAGCATACACACTCGCATCGCATTGCGCTTATGTTTATGTTAAATTTTTTAATTTTATCAACACATTATAAGATTAAAAGATCAAAACTACAATTAAAAAGTATACAAAAAAGGAACAAAATAAATGTAAATCAATTTAAAAAAAAAAAACATTTGTGTTATCTTATATGTGATTTTAGTTATTATATTCCTTATAAAATTAGAGGCTGTTCTGTAGTCAACATAAGAAGTCTAGTCAATCCAGTTTAAAATTTAAAAACAATACATGTATATTACTTAAGAGAGAGAGACAGAGGGAGAGTAATCGAAAGAAAGAGAGAGAGAGAGAGAGAGACAGAAAAAGAGAGAGAGAGAACAGAGAGAGCGCGAGAGAGAACGCGAGAAAGAGCGCTAGAGAGGGCGCTAGAAAGACAGAAAACAAGAGAGGCGCTCTCTGGGAGTGCGAATTAGAAAGAGAGAGAGAGAGAGAGAGCAGAGAGAAAGATATAGAGAGCAGAAAAGCAGAAAGAAAGAGAGAGCAGAGAGAAATATAGAGGGAGCAGAAAAGCAGAAAGAAAGAGAGAGCAGAGAGACAGATAGAGAGGGAGCAGAGAAGCAGAGATAGTGAGCGAGAGAGAGTAAGAGAGAAGAGGAAAAGAGATATAGAAAGTAACGAAGCAAAAGAGATAGCTAGAATGAGAGAGACAAAGAGTGAGTAAGACAGAGAGAGAGGAAGAGAGTGAAAGAGTAACATAAAGTGAGAGTGAGAGGAGAGAGAACGAGCGAGAGAGATAGAAAGGCAGAGAGATCGAAGTATTAGAGGAAGTAAGAGTGAGAGAAAAAACCTTCTTATTAAAAGAGACAGGGCGAGAGGTTATTATACAGCGAAAGAAAGAAAGAAAGAGAAGTAATTAAATAAAATTTTCCTCTAGAAGAGAGAGAGAGAGAGCGCCGGAAGTGGTAAATTGGTAATGTAAGTGAGAGATACATAAGTTAGAGCAAAAAAAAGAGTAGGTTACAAATAAAGAGATAGTGAATAAAAAAGAGAGTAAAAGTGAGAGAGAGTCAAAGAGAGAAAGAGAGAGGGAATCTGCTGAGGGAGGGGAAGTGAAGGTATGATCTCGACTTAAAAGAAAAAAGGAGAAAATCGAGCTAAAAATACTCAGTTGAATTAATAATTTAAAAAAAACGACCGCCCTCCTCCTCGATTCTCAAAAATTCAAGTAGAGCCTGCCCATTTCGATGTAATTTCAGTGCATTTTTTTTGTGTGATGTAATGTGGCTGCAAACGAAAAGTGTAATGTGAATAGAATCTTGTAGGCATTATTGAAAGTTAATGAGCGCCCTCCTCCTCGATTCTCAAAAATTCGAATAGGGTCTGCCCAATTGGATGTAATTTCAGTGAATTCTATTTTTTTTTTTAACTTATTGTGGCTACAAACCAAAAGTGTCGTCTGAATTTAAAATGTTGTAAGCATTATTATAAGGCGCCCTCCTCCTCGATTCTCAAAAATTCAAGTAGCACCTGTCCATTTTTATGTAATTTCAGTGAATTTTTTTTTTTTTGTGTGATATAATGTGGCTACAATCGAAGAGTGTAATGCGAATTTAAAATGTTGTAATCATTATTGAAAGGTAACGAGCGCCCTCATCGACTGTCCTTCTTCGCGATTCTTAGGAATTACAGTTTGGCAAACCCGACTGGATGAAAGGTAAGTGCAAATGTTGTAGATCAATAAAATTGAATAAATATCTCCCATATATAACAATACTGATACACATATTCCGCAAATTTCATTATTTTTATTTTGCATACTTGAATACAAATACATTTAATATATTTTATGTTGAATCTTTATCTAATAGGAGTAGTTTTAACATTTTAGACAAAATATGTATATAAATGGCATCTTCTCTAATGAAGAGCACAATTCTATCCCATCCACTTCTAATGCTATAAACCCAAATGCATACGGCGATCCCTTCATTTACAAACACACACACATACAATGTTGAAGATATTCTATTTTCCAGCACCAGGTGCCCTGGGATTGGGTTCAGTGCGCAATAGCTGCTTGTGCTGTCCAATCATGTGCTCAATATGATTGCATTCCCGTAGCTCGCCCTTGAACTGATCGAGGGTCTCATAGAGCACTGGATAAAGAGCGGGCAGCAGTCCGTGATCGAGGGTGGGGAAGAGATGATGCAGCACATGATCACCAAAGTGAGTAAGTACGAGAAATTGTGACCATTTTAAGTCGCCGCGATCGATTATAGTGTCCACCTGGAACAGGCCCCAGTCGCGATCCTCACGATTCGCATCGCCTTCGTGATAGATCTCCGGGTCATGATGCGCCGCATTCAGACCGATTACGCAAAAAGCAAAGCTGGCGATGGACGTCATCGATAGCCACAGCCGTAGACAACATAGTAAGCCCGCCGAGCCGCCCGATCCATAATACATGACCAGGGGTATGGAGAGGGGCAACAGATCGTGCCAGTACATAATATTTGTGTGGCGCAGCGAATAGAAGATGCTATAAATATACTATTGCGTTTATCAATTGATCAGTTTAAAGATTATCAGGCACCTACCGCATGCCCATTTGCAGGAAGAATGCAATGGCATAGGCCAGCGGCTCCGTGACCCAAGATACATAGCGCAGCGCCTTGGTCTTAATGTGCGGATTGGGCACCCAGCAGAGCAACGGCTCGAACATGCTTAGCTCCAGATCCATGTAGGAATTGGGATAGATGTGATGGGACAGGGCATGCGAGATGCGCCACGAGCAAAAATTCATCATGCCCAGATTGAAGGTGTACATCTGCCAGTTATCGCGACGATGGAAATAATTGTGGGACACTATCACCGTCCAGCAGAGCGCCACACCTGCGAGAACCAATGCCAGCAGACTATCATACTTGGCACTGGCTACGGCAAACAGATAGGTGGAGAGCAATATGCCCAGATGGATCATCTAATGGGGGAGAAATTGAACAAAGACCGTCGAGGATCATCAAAGATCATCACTCACATCGCTTTTTCGCTTGGGCCGCTTGTCTATTGTCTTCAGCTTCTCCCGCACGCGCTCCTTCAGCGTCTTATAGAAGCCATCCTCGTGCAGGGTCAGCGTATAGATTCGCGGCTTGGCCGCATCCCGCACCTTGTACTTGGCAATCATCTTCTCTGGCGCCGTGGTTAGATGATGTGCCTCAAATGCTTCGGTAATGTCTGTGCCTTTGGTTTCCCGTATCCAAAAGGTGCCGCCTGGATGCTTGTCAATGAATTCCGTAAAATCGTAAATGCCATCCTTAATGCGCCAAAGTCCTTCGGCCTCATCATCCTGACGCTTGCCCTTCTGCCAGCTGTGAACTGTCACCAGCGCCGAATTGCGATATGTGGGAAATTTTGTGGCAATTCCGCTCTTCTTCCACGTCTCAATGACCATTGTCCTAGATCCTTGCTGAGCTGTCTCTTTTGCGTATAGAACCTAACTCGAGCTATTTTCAACGCGTACTGAGCGTACTTTAGAGCGCATCTAGATTATAAGTGTCGACCTAAGCCGGTCACAAATCGATTCATGAATAACAAGTTGGTGTATTAGTTGTGAGTGATCGGCTATGAAATACCCTGTTGTTCATTATGCCTTATAAACATGCGCCTTTCCTCGTGGTTTCCCACCTTCTAAGATTCATCCTCTAATAACTTGTAAGTTAAATGCCTAAGTTTTGTAAAATTTTCAGAGCTTTATATGAAAGGCCAATGCTAATTATAATAACAATCGAAAATTTTCGATACTAGCAGAGTTATCATTAAATTAAAGCTAAATTGGTCTATGTAAGGAATTCGAAAATATTAATTAAATAATCTCCAAGTTGCACTTGGCTATATCAGCTGAGGATTATTAATACTTAAAGGCTTTGCCTGTTACAAACACCTTCACAAAATCCATATGCCCTGTTTCACCCATTTCCAATAGTTGCTGGGTATCAAAATATTTCCATTATGATAACCGTGACGCGTCGTGTTATCAGTCCCAGCGTTGTCGAGTCTGCCATCCTATTACACTGGCAGCACAGCCAAGTGTTTGGAACCCGATGATATCGTTGCCTCTAAACGTGAACCACGCTGACCCACTGTGGCGCGTGTGGTGGTCTATCCACCCGTAATCGGCTTGCAATCAGTTGGTACTTATGCTAAGCGCTCCCTGCCGGCTGCCGGGGTCAGGCCTAGGTAAATATGCCGCTGATACGCAGCTAGCTTTCAGACGGCGTTTCACGTTTTGCAATACTAACCACGACGCAGCACATTTATGTAATCAGTTGGAAAAACTAGCCTTTAATAGAAATATAAATTCACTTTAGGCGCAATAAAATATGTTTATAAAAATTGAAATTAAAATTGGCATTCGAGTATTGTCAGCAATTTTGTACCGATTGATGAAATTATAATTTAAGTAAGCATATGCATTCTTGATCGGGTTGATTGAGAAACCGATAACTATAATTATGTGGAAAAGAGAAGAAAAACTTGAACTGAGTTCTTGTATAAATATTTTTTTTTTTTTAGGTGTTGTGAATTTTAATTGCTTCCTGATCGATTTACCATATTTAATATATGTCATTTGTACAAGAGCATTTAATCTTCGGTGTTGCGTTTCCAACTATCCTTTCTTGTGTATTGTTTATTGATAGCTCCCGCGTCTTATCAAACAGATGTCTTTCAGAGTTTGATTAACATATGCACAATCAAAGCCCAAACGTTTCCATGGCAATTTCGACATTATAGCCTAAGATTTCTTCAATGGAAATCTAAAAGCGTCCGAATTTTAATATAAATGTAGAAATATATAAATAAATCTATCCTTTATAACATACTTTCAGGTTGCGCAACAAACAAATCTTAAGCTTTCATTTAACATTTTAGATTACTTGTATGGTTCTTGAAATAGAACAAACTGGTATCGAGCAAAGAACTGGCCTGTTCTCGAGCTGTTTCGCAAACATATATAAGGTTTAGTGTGAGCGGAACTTATAAATACCTGCTCTACCCAAATAAGGTTTTAGGCACTCGTTTAACGTATCTAAAGTTGTGATGCGTGCCATTTTCAGTATATTGTCATGGGATTTTGGAGTGGACAGTTGTTATGTTGTAGGGATTCTTTGGGGAATCTTTTTGAAATTGAGACTTTTTTCCCGTTTAAAACTCTGAGCGCCTTTTTAACTCAGCCAAAGCATGCGTTTTCAGTATCTTGTCATGGCGTTTTATAGTGATCCATTTACATTTCGTTGCAATGCAGTTAGTTCTGGGGTGTTGGAGCGGCCCATTGATAAGAGGCGCTACAAAAGCCGAAAGCTCGCCGAGCTTTTATAATTTGTCGAGTGATGTGAGACAAAAGCAGAGCTACGCTCCACGGGGCGAATCATAAGCGAAGCAGGCGGCCAGTCGAGTGGGGTCTGTGAACAAACAGACCGGTTTTATAAATTTATATCAGCTCTTGGACTTCGGCTAACACAAATAGATAGATATAGAAAACATTTGTGATTAGTCAAAAGATTAGGCTACAAATAAATATGTCACCCAATGCGGAGCTGGAAGCTTGGCGCATTTCGGGCATATCCCGCACATATCCCAGCTATCGCAGACATTGGCCCATCATTGACGAGAGGTGCGTAGCTCGAAATAGTTATAGATTGGCGTTGGACCATATCCCAAGGGTCACTCACAGTTGCCCCGCCCTTGCAGCTGGCTGGAGGGCAAACACCGAGACGACGAAGCCGAGGGCCTGTGGCGCATCAAAGATAAGCTCTACGATTTGACGGACTTCGCACAACGGCATCCGGGCGGCGCGTTCTGGATTAAGTGCACCAAGGGCACCGATATAACCGAACCATTCGAATCACATCACATTGAGGAGCATGCTGAGCGTATGCTCAGCAAGTTCGAAGTACGCCCAGCCTCGAAGCCGCGAAATTATAAGTTTACGCTGGAGCAGAATGGCTTCTACTTGACCCTAAAGAGGCGAGTACGAGCGAAGCTGCGAGCGCTTAATTATCGACCCAGCCACAAGACAGATGTGAGTTTCGAAAAAAAAGAAAGTCGTTTTTAGTATATTTTAATGCAGATCTGGGGGCTTGAAATATCACCTAATTGTTTCTAACATATTTTTTCGTATATTTGCAGCTACTTCACACCGGCATCCTGATCTCAGTGCTCCTCTTCAGCTGGGCCGGCACAGTCCTGGACTCCTTGATATTGCGTACCTTTGCAGGCCTGGCGCTTTGCTGGTTATCCACCTCGGCCCACAATTACTTTCATCAACGTGATAATTGGCGCATGTATAGCTTTAATCTAATACTGCTAAACTTCAATGGCTGGCGCATATCGCATGCCCTTTCCCATCATGTTTATCCGAACTCGCTGCATGATCTGGAAATGTCGTTCTTTGAACCCTTCCTCTGCTGGGTACCCGGTCGGCAATATGCGAGCCGGCCACAGCGTCTGATCTCCGTGCTGATATCACCCTTTATATATACGGTCATGAGTCTAGTGCAGTTTACACTACGGTTAGTTTTAATCAAAAATTAAACTTTTGGATGAAGCCATATTTATTTATATTTCCTTTACAGTCTGGTCTACTCGCTGCTCAGATCGAATGTTATGTACTGGCACGATCTTTTGGGCTTTACCTTACCTGCCTTTCTCTATTTCTCGACAAGTGTGGGTCTTGGCTCTGCTATCACTAGCTGGCTTATTATTTTGGGCCTGGCCAGCTTTCTGTTCGGCTTCATCGGTCTAACCGCAGCTCATCATGATCCCCGCATTTATCACGACGGCGATGCCACGCGCTCTGATCGCGATTGGGGCCTCTATCAGCTGGATACGATCATCGATCGTGGCGACATCAAGTGGTCCGATCTACTGGTGCTCACCCATTTTGGCGAGCATGCACTGCATCATATGTTTCCCACTCTGGATCATGGTGTGCTGAAGCAGCTCTATCCGGAGCTGCAGCAGACCTTGCGCGAGTTCAAGTCTGAGCTGCGCGAAATCAACCACTGGGGTCACATCAGGGGTCAGACCCAGCAGCTGTTGCGTATGGAAACGAATCCGATTCCACCGGGCAGCAAAAAATTTAAATAGTTTAAGTGCTGATATAATTGTCGTGGTGATTGGGTGAGCTTTGATATGGCCTCCAAATTAATGTATATACTTCTGTGTAACTAGACGAGTAAGTAAAAATTGTGTTTCCAACAATTATAAGAGAGTATTGTTCTCTTAATCAGCTGGACATAGGACATTATAATAATAAGAGTTTAATTATATATATTCTCTCTCTCTCTCTCACCCTCTCTGTTCCTTCGTTTTGCTCTTGATCGCTTCATTCTTTGTTCTTTGATATTTGTTATTTGACAAATATTATCCCAAGTAATGTAGGGATTGGGCTGTATAAATATAGCTAATAACTTTCTTTTAATCGCCAGGAAGAGAGTTTGTCAATAAAGAGATAGGATTTTCTAAGGATTACTCTTTTAAAATTTTAAAAGAGGTTTTTGATTTGAGAAAACGAAAAAATATGTGTATGTATTTTGATGGGTAAAGTGAAAAATTGAGAACAAACTACAATTAAGAAAGAGAAATGAAAGTAAGAGATAAATGGAGAAAGAGAGAATTAAGAGAGAATTGTCGAAATAAGATAGCAAAAGCTTGTGCTGTATCATTCTGACGCTACACTCAACATATTCTACATATGCCTAATGGGAATCAACAATTTGGCCAATCGAGATATTTTTCGAATTTAAGTATGAGTAACAAATAGGTATAGCTGAGAAAATACCCTATTTCCAGAGTTTATTGTCGTTATTTCAAATATAGCCGTAAGTTCGAGCGGTAACATAATGATTTGATGTCTTGGAATCGATATTTATTTATTTCGAACAAATCAAAGAGAAAATTTGGCTCTCTAGACTCAGCTTGCCGTCTTGATCAAGCCTATGCGGCGCAAAATCAACCACTGGGATCACATCAGGGGTCAGACCCAGCAGCTGTTCCGTATGGCTGTTCTACCTTCTTTCAGTCATTTTTAATGGGCACAGAACAAAATTATAGCTAGCCGAAGCTGTAATACCCTGTAAGTCACACTGACTTCAATATAGAAAGATAATAGTTATAAAAAATAACTTTATATGCTTGTAAATTATTTATATACAGTTGTACTTATGTAGCCCATCCATTGTACAACTCACGTATTTAAGTCTTTAGCCCACGACTGGAGTTAATGATAGGCAAAAAATCGGCGAACGATCGATAAGCGTCTCGTTTGCCTTCGGTTATAAATAGACTGCTTTGGGGCTACAGTCGCATAGTTAAGAATAAGGCGTTCCAACGCACAGTAGTCAAGCAACATGGTTGGGTTACGGTTGAGCATAGTTGGGCTCTGCCTGTTGATGGTCGCATTGCCCGCGCGGGGCGCCAACATTTTGGGCCTGTTCAGCAGTCACAGTCCATCGCATTTGATACTCCACATGTCAATGATAAAAACGCTGGCCGAAAATGGACACAATGTGACCGTGGTGACCATGATGAAACCCACTGTCACACACAAAGATATACACGTGATTGTGGTGCCCATGACGGATGAGCAGGAGGAGCTACTGGAGAGCCAAATGAACGAAATGGCTGGTCAAAAGAATTCGTTCATCGATACCATGCTTCGTCTGATGAGCGGCATGAGGCTGATGGTTGACTCACAGCTGGAGCTGCTGTCGGATCCACGCTTTCAGCGCATATACGAGACCAAGTTTGATTTAATGTTCATGGGCTATTTCATCAACGATTTTCAGCTGGGCGTGGCCGCCAAGCTGCAGGTGCCGGTAATTGTCTCGTGGATGCAGGCGCCCATGTTGGCCGTGGATGAGCTTGTGGGCAATCCCACAGAGACTTCGTATGTGCCCAATTTGGGAACGTCATTGGCACGTGGCGAGAAAATGGGCTTTGTGAAGCGTTTGCAGAACCTGGGCATGGAGGTCATTGTTAGGATTATGTGGACGATATTCGACCGTCGCTTGGAAAAGTACTATAATCAACAGTTTGGTCATGAAGTCAACTTTCCGACGCTGGGCGAGATGAAACGCAACGTTTCCATGCTGTTCACCAATAGCCACTCCGTCAGTGAGGGTCCCATCAGGCCACTAGTGCCGGCCGTTGCGGAAATTGGTGGCATTCAAGTCAAAGATCAGCCTGATCCCTTGCCGGAGGACATTGCCCAGTTTCTGGAGAATGCGCAAAATGGCGCCATTTTGCTCGCCCTCGGCACGAACATCAAGAGCACGGCTGTCAAGCCCGAGCTGGTGCGATCCATGTTCAAGGTGCTGTCAGGCCTCAAACAGCATGTGATCTGGAAGTGGGAGGACTTAGATAATACGCCCGGTAAATCGGCAAATATTCTTTACAAGAAGTGGCTGCCACAGGACGACATACTAGCCCATCCCAAGATCAAACTCTTCATCAACCATGGGGGCAGAGGTGGCATCACGGAGGCGCAATACCACGGCGTACCCATGCTGGCTCTACCGATCTTCGGCGATCAGCCCGGCAATGCCGAGAATATGCAAAAGGCCGGCTATGGCGTAGCCCTCGACTTGCTGCAGCTGAACGAAGACAACTTCAAGGCAAATATCCAGGAAGTACTCAACAACAAACAGTATGCCCTGACCATCGGTCGGTTCTCGCAGCTGTACCGGGACAGGCCTCTCACAGCCAAGCAGACGGTGCTCTACTGGACCGACTATGTGCTGCGGTACAAGGGTGCCCCCCATCTCCAGAGTCCGTCCGTGCACATGGGCATCGTGGCCTACCACAATCTAGATGTTTATGCTGTACTCACAGCTGCCTTATCCCTTGTCCTGTTCTTAACCTGGCGTGCACTGAAATTCACTTGCCGCAAGCTATGTGGCAAGTCGAAGACGAGCAAGAAAGTGAAGAGACAATGAGTATAAGTAATCGAAAAGTATATTAATTCGTAAGAGTTGTCTGAAAAGTATATATTTTAATAAAACCACCTAACTAAACTTAAGCACATCCTGACGCCCTGTATGGGAAATATTATGCCATAAATGGGTTGCACGAGAAATATTCGAGGCTATAGAGTATAAACATATGTGCTTGTTCAGAATGACGCGCTGAATAGAATGCTTAAAGTGCCCTGACTGCCGTGTGCTACTTAACGTGTTATCACAGAAATAAAAGTCGTAAAGTTAATGGGACAACTTTTAGTTGAAATCACATTTATAGGTGTCTTTTATCAGTTCTTAGTTAGAAAACGATTTAAAGAGATAGGCAAATACCTTAGACAATGCGAAATTCCATTCATTGGCCTGGGAGTCGAACTTGGAGCCAAGCGCTTAAAATATTTAGGGAAACTTTTGCGATTGCATAAGTGATTCATTTAATCTTAACTATGAATGAACTTATCAATAAACATAAATGATTTGCTGTACAGCAGACGTATTCAATTACGAAAAAAAAAAAAATGTCGGCTCTTAAAGGAGCTTATCAAGCCCTTCGTCACAGCACGCCGAGAGAGCACAGACCAGACACAGATAATATTAATGTAATACTGCGCTGTCATCTTGGCGCAGCAAGTGTGTTTGATTAAGAGAGCTTCGACCCGGCGGGAACTGTGCAAATAAAAGCCACTTGACTGACCCGTTCGCCATTCAGTTGAGCATGAGGATGGTCCGAGGCAACGTGCTCTTGATGATTCTGGCGCCGCTGCTGGTGCTTCCAGATTCACGTGTGAATGGCGCCAACATTTTGGGCATGTTCAGCACATTTAGTCCATCGCATTTGATAGTGCACATGTCAATGATGCGGGCGCTGGCGGATCGTGGACACAATGTGACCATTGTGACGGCTTTGAAGCCCAAGCTCGTGCCGCATGAGAATATAACATATATCCTGGCGCCGCTCAGTGAACATCATCTGGCCTTCGTGAACGAGTACATGGCGAACTCGGCCAAGGAGAAGCATTCAATGGCTATGACATTTCTCAAGACAATAATAGGAACAGGTCAATTGATGGACAGTCAGTATGAGTTCCTGTTACATCCCAATGTGCGGGCACTTCACGAGCAGCCGCAGGTGAAGTTCGATTTGATGATCTTGGGCTATGTGTTCAATGATTACCAATTGGGCGTGGCAGCCAAGTTGGGCATACCCGCGATTATAAGCTGGGTGGGCGTGCCATTTTCATTTGTCGACGACGAGGTGGGCAACATCTACGATCCCGCGTATGTGCCCAACGTGAATGTGGTTCAGGACAAGCGCCTCCGTACCATGGGCTTCGGTCTGCGACTGCGCAACTACCTTAGCTGGCTGTTGCTCAAAGGTATAGGCCTGGCACTGGATGTACGCATGAACAACTATTACACGTGAGTAACGCGCTCCTCTTTTCGACGAACTGCATCCTAATATTTGGCCACTCTTTTATTTTATAGACGCGTTTTTGGCGAGGATCCTGCTCTGCCCAGCTACCAAGATGTGAAGCGTCGCGTCTCGCTGCTCTTCTACAATTATCACTCGCATAGCGAGGGTCCTGTACGTCCCACGGTGCCGCAGTCCATTGAAATTGGTGGCGTGCAGATCAAGGAGCAGCCGGATCCATTGCCTAAAGAGCTGGCTGAATTTATGGCCAATGCCACAGAGGGTGCCATCTTCTTTAGCCTGGGCACCAATGTTAAGAGCTCCTACTTCAAGCCACACATCATGGAGGCTATCTTCCAGGTGCTCGCGCGCCAGCCGCTGCACGTCATCTGGAAATGTGATGATCTGCAGCATAAGCCGGGCCATGCTGCAAATATATACTTTCACAACTGGCTGCCACAGGACGACATCCTGGCCCATCCAAACACCAAGCTCTTCATCACGCACGCCGGCAAGGGTGGCATTGCGGAGGCCCAGTACCACGGTGTGCCCATGCTGGCGCTGCCCGTGTTTGGTGATCAGCCTGGCAATGCAGAGCTAATGGTATCCGCCGGCTTCGGACTGAGTCTGGATCTGCTCACGCTAACCGAGGATAGACTGGAGCAGAGCATACGCGAGCTGCTGCACAATCCTGCATATCGCCAGAATGTCCGCAAATTTTCCCAGCTCTATCGCGATCGTCCGCTCACCGCTCGTCAGTCTGTCGTCTATTGGACGGAGTACGTAATGCGGCACAATGGTGCCTACCACCTGCAGAGTCCCTGGCTGCACATGGACTTTGTGGCACGCCACAATCTCGATGTGTATGCCTGCCTCCTACTTGCTCTTGCCGTCTCTTTGTTTGTTTTTGCGCTGTTGCTGCGCTTCACTTTGAAGCAGCTGCGGCGATTGGCACGCTCAAAAGACAAGGTCAAAGAGAATTAGACACCTACATCTAGTTAATTCAATTGATAGACTGCACCCATTACGCATACGACGCGTGGCGCCGTAATCAAACACACAATGCTATAATCGGTATATATTTATATATATATATATATACATTTTTATATATAGAACCACAAAAGTATCAACAAGTTGCCAACACTCCTATTGACTATTAATAGGCGCATTTTTCTCTCTTTCTCTCACTCTCTGTCTCTCTATCTGGCAGTGTGCAATCACACTGAGGAAAATTACGTAGTAGCTGCTGAAGAATTTAAGAAAAATTACGTTAAATATTGCTCTAATAGAGTACATAACACTTTTAAATTAAAAACCTAAAAATCCAATTAAAAACCTTAATGTTAAATGGGTTGTCTAAAAATATAAATATCTGGGCTAACTGGGTTCTTAGATTGTGAAATTGTAACATATGTGCACTTTGCCTGTTGTACTACCCCAAGTTTTACTATAATTTCGAGATAAGCCCCTACGTGATTATTTGAGTGAGTTATTCAAAAAGCAGTGTCAAGGTTTGTTTGCTGCTTAGCCAAAAAACGATAAAACCAGCTTAATTTTTCTGTAAGTTGCTCTCTCTTTCTCTCTCGTGCTCCCTCTCTATTGCTCAGCGAGCAACTTCTGCACTCAGTGCAATTTTTTTACTATTCTCTGAATCACATCTCGATTCCCGAACAGAGCCGGTTCTCAGTCTCTCCGCTGTCATCGAAACGCGCAAACCGAACGCGAATGCGCTTGGTTTTGGTTTGTTTTCTTTATATACAAGCTGTTTTTCGCTATGCATTTATAATTTGAGAATTCGATTGTTGTTGTTCTGACCATATACAGACACATACATACATATTGCCGTGCGCGGTATGCGTACAAAATCAAATATATTATAACTTACATTATGTATGTATATACTTTGTCGTTGTCTTATGTATTATGTATATCAAAAGTCCATTTATTCAAGTCAAGCTACAAATAAGTCCCATTCCTCATATATCCTACAGCTAAGACTTCTTGTTTAATTGGTTTCAATTTCCTACGCTTCCAACTGGATTTCGCTTGGCATTACGTGTTCGCTTTATGTTTATGTGATAGCGTTGAGTTGTTCGTTTTGAAATTCAAGAGGTAGCTGATAACAAATTATAATACCCTGTAGCAACATGTCTGTGTGTATTTGTAAGTGTACTAAAGGCAGGGTGTGTGACTTATATATCGATCACAATCGACAGCAGACCACAAATCGGGAATAATTTACACAATTGTTGCGTGTATGGAAGAACAAATGCTTGTTTCGCCAAATGCAGCTATCAGGGCAGCTGCTAGTCGGGCATTGCCGACTGTAGCATTCTCATGTGTAGCATTGCATGCACAACATTTACAGAACACAACGAAAACAATTACGTGCTTTGCGATTTAAGTTCCCTTATCGGGAGGCATCAAGCCAACAGAAGTTGACATGGCGCACCAGGGCAGATATTTTCTGACCGGCCCATTGGCGTGCCTGTTGCTCGGATTCTTTGTCCAGCCGGATGTGGAGGGCGCTAATATATTGGGCGTGTTCACCAGCCATAACCCATCGCATCTGATAGTCCACATGTCCATTATGAAGGCGCTGGCCGAGGAGGGTCACAATGTGACAGTGGTGTCAACCTCACAGCCAAAGGTCACACACAAAAGCATCAAACACATTGTGATACCCCGGAGCGCGGCCGAGGAGAAAGTAATAAGCGATGGATTGACCACATTGGCCAAGAAGAAGCCCTCGATGGTTACGACGATCCAAAATTTTTTTGGTTCGCTCTCGATTCTCATCCATAAGCAAGTCGACGTGCTGGAGGACAAACGCTTCACCGATCTTTACAAGAACAAAGACAACAAATTTGATGCAGTTGTCTTCGGATTATTCTTCAACTTCTATCAGGCGGGACTCGGTTCCAGATTCAAGTGTCCGTTAATTGTGAGCTGGGCGGGACCTCCGATGGTGCGAATCAATGATGCTGTTGGCAATCCCGAACTGATTGCCACGGTGCCCGGCATGAATGTGGCCGTTCTGCCTGGCCAGGCCATGAACTTTAAGCAACGTCTGGCCAACTTTGGTAGCTCCATGGTCTTCCGGCTCTTGAGCTTCTATCTGGAGATGTTAAATGCGCAGTTCTACGAGTAAGTTACAGTTCCCTTTCTATTAAAATTGACTGATTGACTAACTGAATGAGATCGAGGTACCAATAGAATTTTGTTTACGTTCATAGTAATTGAACATCTAGTAGGGGCTTAGAAAAAAATATCAGCAAATGGACGGTAACTAGTGCAAGGGACTTATTTAGTTTCCTTCGATCTGCTATTATTCAATGATTTTTGTAGTATGTTTGATAGAAATGCTTTTGTATACAAATAACATGAGTTTTAATTTTACAGTCGCCTTTGGGGCAAGGATCCGGCCATGATAAGCTATGAGGAGGCCAAGAAGAACGTATCTCTGGCGTTCTGCAATAGTCATGCCATCAGCGAGGGACCTATCAGACCCAACGTGCCTGCAGTTATTGAGATTGGTGGCATACAGATTAAGAATAAGCCCGATCCCTTGCCACAGGACATAAAGGAGTTCTTGGACAATGCGAAGCATGGCGCAATTCTCTTCAGCCTGGGCAGCAATCTCAAGGGCGATCACATTCAACCAGAACTCATTGGCAAAATATTCGAAGCGCTCTCCAGCCTTAAACAGAATGTAATCTGGAAGTGGGATGACCTAAAGAACTTGCCCGGAAAATCGTCTAATATTCTCTATAAAAAGTGGCTGCCACAGGACGACATACTCGCCCATCCCAGCATTAAGCTGTTTATAACGCACGCTGGAAAAGGAGGCGTGGCCGAGTCTCAGTACCATGGCAAGCCCATGCTGGCGCTGCCTGTATTTGCCGATCAGCCTGGTAATGCAGATAAGCTGGTTCAGGCGGGCTACGGGCTACGCGTTGATTTGTTAACCCTGGAGGTCGATGAGTTTAAGGGTGCGATCAATGAGTTACTCAATAATCCCAGCTACACAAGAAAGGTTCAACAGTTTTCCAAACTCTATCGCGATCGTCCTATGTCGGCACGCGATTCGGTGATCTACTGGGTTAACTATGTGCTCCGTCATCATGGCGCCAGCCACATGCAAAGTCCTCTTGTCCATATGAACTTTATTGCGAGCCACAATCTAGACGTCTATCTATTGCTTTCAGCGATTCTTATTGTTATCGCCGTGATAAGCACAGTTGTGCTCGAGTTCTTCTGGAGGAAATGTTGTGGCGGCAAAGGCAAATCGCAAAAGACTGCCCAAAACTCAAAGATCAAGAAGCACTAATATTATTTATTGTAAATAGGACAGTAAGATTTGATTTATTTAAATAATTGTAGCTAAACTAGAAAATACAAGTAAGTAAGAATGCTGTGTCAAAAAGAATTTTCATAACAACTGCATATTAAAAAGTAAAAACATGTTAGTCTTAACTATTCTAAGAATTCCTTATAAGACTTAATATAATCTTTGATAAACGGGCATAATATCGGGTTGTTGCACGTGCTAAGCTTCTGTGGTGCATGTCTTTGCTGAAAAAATTCGCAGACTTTTGAATTTTAAACTACACACATTTATGTTTGAGTAAAATTGTTTGTTATGCATATGCATAAGTATTATATGCATATTGAAGCTGTATTGTACAATAATGAAATGCCAAATGCCTCAATCAATGAATCACTAACTAAGTTTTTGGGAAAAGTGAGTAAAGAGATTCTATGCTCCAATTCCATAGAATATCATTGTATTTCTCTATGACTATTGTAGCCATAAAATTTCCTGAGATGCTTTAAGGTCAGTTTTTTCTCCGTGCACTTTGCATGCTGTGATATAACTTGCACTTTTTGCTACCTCAAGTTTAACTATAATTTCGAGATATGTAAGCCCTTACGTGATTATTTGCAGTGAGTAAAACAAAGGGCAATGTCAAGTTTAATTTACTATTAAGGCAAATAACGATATAATGAGCTCTATTTCATTTCCTTAGAGTTGCTCTCTCTCTCTCTCTCTCTCTTATTCTCAGCAAGCAATTATTTCTCTCAGTGCACATTTTTTACTATTAATTGACTCGCATCTGTCCAAACGATTCTCGACCAGACCCAGTCCTCAGTGTCTCCGTTGCCATCGAAACGCGCAAACCGAACGCGAATGTGCTTGATTTTGGTTGGTTTTTATAGTTTGCGAATGCGATTGTTGTTGTTTTTACCTTATGTATATATTTATATATATATATGTCTATATAAATATATACATAGTGCCGCGCGTTATGCGTACAAATGAGAAAAATGCAAATTATATACGAGATATTTAATTGCTTTAGAACTGTGACTAATGTGTCTTATTAATTTGTTATTGGCGATTCGTGCGATATATCAAAAAATCATTAATTTAATTCACCCCGTTGACATTGCAGGCTGTCTACAAATTAACCCTATGCTCCATATACCCTACAGTATATTTAGTTAAAGTGGCGCCAATTTCATAAGTTTCCAACTGGATTTCTCTTTATATTACGTGTTCTTTATGTTTTTGTGATAGCGTTAAGTTGTACGTTTCGAAATTCGAGAGGTAGGTAACAACAAATATTAATACCCTGTACATATAATTTGTTGAATAATAGGGTATATTGCAGTGCTAGCAAATGTTTAAAAAAGACAAATGCATAGGCCAGGCTACTTTTGCGGATTAAGAATATATATAATTGATGCGATTTAGCCATATCCGTCAGACTGTCCAATCACAGAGACTTTAAAAGGCATTGTTCAGTTAACTTAAATGTATCGATTACTCTGTTATCGGGATCGATAAATATCTATTTGTTTATCCGATTATAAACATATCTGTAAGGTTAAAATAGCCAGACGTTCCAAATAAGACTTCCGCGAGCCTCAGGGAGACTAGATATATTTATATAACTGAACAACTATTAGAGGAATTGCCCTGATAACATATTTTAACCCAGGACATTTTATATCTGACAGTTAATACCTGTGAAAGCTAGTACAGGGTATATGCGAGTCGCTCAGCATTGTCTAAAACCTTCTCACATTAACAGAACGCACCGAAAACGATAACGTGTTTGGCGATTTAAGTCTCCTTATCAGGAGGCATCAATTCTTATCAGACGGCCGGTCTGAGGCGAAGCGTTTAGTTTATATAAATAAACGCACTCCAAACAGTAGACTTAGTACCACATAAACCCTCCGCAGAGACGTTGACATGGCGCACCAGGGTAGATCTTTTCTGACCGGCACTTTTGCTTGCCTGTTGCTCGGATTCTTTGTGATCCAATCGCCGGCTGTTGAGGGCGCTAATATATTGGGCGTGTTCACCAGCCACAGTCCATCGCATCTGATAATCCACATGTCCATCATGAAGGCGCTGGCCGAGGAGGGTCACAATGTGACAGTGGTGTCAACCACACAGCCAAAGGTGACACACAAGAGCATCAAACACATTGTGATACCTCTGAGCGCGGCCGAGGAGAAGGTCATAAGCGATGGCATGACCGCAATGGCAAAGGAGAAGCCCTCAATGATTACTACGATGAAAAGTTTATTTGGCTCGCTCTCGATGCTTATTTACAAGCAAGTCGACGTGCTGGAGGACAAACGCTTCACCGATCTCTACAAGAACAAAGACAACAAATTCGATGCTGTTGTCGTGGGTTTCTTCTTCAACTTCTTTCAGGTGGGCCTTGGTGCCAGATTTAATTGCCCCTTGATTTTGAGCTGGACCGGAGCGCCCATGGTGCAAATCGATGATGCTGTTGGCAATCCAGAACTGGTCGCCACAGTGCCCAGCATGAATGTAGCTGTACTGCCTGGCCACGCCATGGACTTTAAGCAGCGTCTGGCCAATTTTGGTAGCTCCATATTCTTCCGCCTCTTGGGTTTCTATCTGGATATATTAAATGTGCAGTTTTACGAGTGAGTAACAATTCTTTATCTCTTTATATGGACTGATTGATTAACTAAAACCAGTTAAAACTAGAAGCCACCAATTTATATTATATTTTCCGAATGTGAATTCCCCTTAACTGTGGAAAACGATTGTATAAAACTTTTTGGTTTATCCACCTTTGGGAAATATCGTGAAGTTCAAGATAATAGGACATATTCAAGTTTTACACTGGCGGAAGACCACGTTGTTTTTATGTATTGTTATTAATCATTTTGTACTTTACTTATAGTCGCCTTTGGGGCAAGGATCCGTCCATGATAAGCTATGAGGAGGCCAAGAAGAACGTATCTCTGGCGTTCTGCAATAGTCATGCCATCAGCGAGGGACCTATCAGACCCAACGTGCCTGCAGTTATTGAGATTGGTGGCATACAGATTAAGAATAAGCCCGATCCCTTGCCACAGGACATAAAGGAGTTCTTGGACAATGCGAAGCATGGCGCAATTCTCTTCAGCCTGGGCAGCAATCTCAAGGGCGATCACATTCAACCAGAACTCATTGGCAAAATATTCGAAGCGCTCTCCAGCCTTAAACAGAATGTGATCTGGAAGTGGGATGATCTTAAGAACTTGCCCGGAAAATCGTCTAATATTCTCTATAAAAAGTGGCTGCCACAGGACGACATACTCGCCCATCCCAGCATTAAGCTGTTTATAACGCACGCTGGAAAAGGAGGCGTGGCCGAGTCTCAGTACCATGGCAAGCCCATGCTGGCGCTGCCTGTATTTGCCGATCAGCCTGGAAATGCAGATAAGCTGGTTCAGGCTGGCTACGGCCTACGCATCGATTTGTTCACCCTGGAGGTGGATGAGTTTAAGGGTGCCATCAAGGAGATACTCAAGAATCCGAGCTACAAAACCAAGGTTCAACAGTTTTCCAAACTCTATCGCGATCGTCCTATGTCGGCACGCGATTCGGTGATCTACTGGGTTAACTATGTACTCCGTCATCATGGCGCCGGCCACATGCAAAGTCCCCTTGTCCATATGAACTTTATTGCGAGGCACAATCTAGACGTCTATCTATTGCTTACAACGATTCTTATTGTTATCGCCTTAATAAGCACAGTTGTGCTCAAGTTCTGCTGGAGGAAATGTTGTGGCGGCAAAGGCAAGTCGCAAAAGACTGGCCAAAAGGCAAAGGTCAAGAAGAACTAGTACTATTTATTGTAAATAAGACGATATAAGATAATACGACGTTTTTTTAATTGTAACTAAGCAATACAACGACAATAAATTTCGATGTAAATATTACACATAAGTAGGAATGCTACGTTATTACAATATCTATTACAATATCCATTAAAAAACAAGCAAGACGCTTTAGTTTGGAGTTCCCAACTTCTGTATAAGACTTAATATAAGGTTTGATAAATGGGCGCCTTATCGGGTTGTTGCACGTGCTAAGCTTTTGTGATGCGATGGTATGGTGTATGTCTATGCTGCAAATTTTCAATTCACACGAAACGCAGACTATTAATTTTAAACTTCATACATTCTTGTTGAGTAAAAAGTAATTTACATAAAAGCCCGCATTAAATATATTTTCAAGTATGCTTGTACAACAAACTCTAGGATCGTATCTGTTCCTCGGAGCCTGCATCTCGACCAACGGAGGGAGCGGAAACCACCGGCTTGTCGGTTGCCAGGAACTTTTGCAAGCTGTCCGGCGTGACCAGGCCGCTGTCGTCAGCATAATGCATGAGATCACAAATGATGGGCGATTCTACGACCAAAATATACTGGCACGTTTTTGGTTCCAGCAAGTACATGGAGACAGCTGTGCCGCTAGTGCTGACGGGAGTGCAGGTCAGTTTAACGTCGACTTCACGTGGCAGACCGCTGCGATCACAGTGCGTACCCTTGTCATAGTGATGCCATATGGAGGATGTAAAGCCTGGACGACGAGCACCCTTGTCGGGATTTGAGCTGGCCCACTGGCGATGTGACTCCTCTGAGAAATAGCCCAGAAATAGTTCAATTTCGCTGTTCTTTTCCTTATGGAATTGGCGCACGTGCCTGCCATAACAGAATTCATACTTCCACCAACCGGTGCCCTGCAACAAAGAGCACAGCTTTAACAAAGAGATAATGAGTCGAAAGAATTACTTACGCCAGTTAAGCAGTTTTTGCCGGAGATAAACTCTTTAATAGGTGTCAGATCGCTCAGAGGCGGTGGCACTGTGCCCGGCGTATTTCTGGATAGCACGATCTGTTGATAATCGTTGTCCACTTCAATATCACCATTGGCCATCAGTTCCAAGATAATTTTGTCGACGTCACCGCTATACTTGAATGTAACCATATCACCATCCGTCTTGGACCAGAGCTTAGCTGGCGCTTTGTTTTCCTTTGAAATAAGTAAATCATTTTCGCTTTCCTCCCACTCGTTTAGCTCCTGGCGCAGCATGCTGATAGGCTTATGCGGCTCCGTTTGCGAATTGAAGCATTTAATGGATATCTCTTTAGTCTCCTCGGCATGG